GACACGGGTATTTCCCGCTGCCGACCCGTTCCTTAAACCGCCAGTAAAACCCGTAAATCTTCGATGTCGACCGCGAGTCCCCCTTACTGCTGCTAATGTGAAATGTGAAATGTGAAATGTGAAATGTGAAATGTGAAATGTGAAATGTGAAATGTGAAATATTCCAAAATATATACATAACGCAAACATATTCAGGCTGAACGCGGGGAACCTATGATCTCAATGGGACAAGAACATCTGCGGGAAAAAAAATCAGTTTTCTTGTGTTTATTTATGGAAATGCATTCAAATTAAGCATCCTGCAGGTTGGGATTGCACAGCTCAGCTCATTTAATAATGATAATAATAACAATAATAATAATAATAATAATATCTGGTGATATCGCAAAACTGCGAAATAGTTGTAGGAAATAGTTGTAGAAGATAAAGAAACTAATGCTTGGATACTATTTGAAGGTACAGTTTGTCAAGTTGGTAAGATTGCGGAGAGAACTGTTGAAAAACAAGATCAGGCATCAAAAAAGAGTGCAAAAGCTCAAGTGTAAATCAGATTAACATAGTGTTTGACTTTCGCACAGGACATCACGAACAGCTAAGAAAAGACCTAAGAACAATTACAAATACAGATAGGGAAGTGAACTTTCTTATAGAACGATGCCAGAAATGGATTTTAAGACAGAACGTCTATATAGTCAAGAAGTTCTATGAATAATAATATTATATGCATAAACTGAAGAAAGAGTTTTTCCTTTAACAATGTTCCCACCTTCCGTATTATAAAGCCCATCCAAAAGTCCTTATGTATTCTGTACAGAATCATGTAAAGGAGGACTTAACATATATAATTCTTTATCTAAAGCAATTCAAAAACTCTGCGAAGCCTCTTCTTTTGTGATAATCTTTGTGGTTCAGAGTTATTTTGTTTTGTAATATATTCAATTTTGTTATTGTTCTTTGCTTTTCTTCCTTCGTTTTACACATTTTCCACTACTTCAGTTTTCTTTTCTCTTTTGTGTCTGAGTAATATATTATTAGAATAATAGTAATACAACATTAAATTCAGATCAATAGTCTTTGGGCAAACCGTTTACAATAAATTTCAACAATTCACTCAGCCACCAAGGTTAAATTCAAAAGTCAATTCTACTTTCAATAAAATACAAATTAACTTTGAAAATTATTGAAGTTCTCCGAAGAAGATAATATCAGGTTTTCTAGTAATAACCTGAATTTTTACAAGTTTTTTTTTTTTTTTTTTTTTTTTTTTTTTTTTAAAACAAAAAGGTAATAATTAATCATACCAACGTCGAATGAATAAAATTAGTTTTACGGCGGTTTATAAATATCAAAGATATAGTTGTCTGATTATATCTAATGTTGGGAATTGCATTTGAAAAGTATTGTTCTTTTTCTTTGAAATTTCCATACAGGTTTAAAATATGGCAGCGAAAAAGATCGTAATTCTGCTCCTAGTGGCGTTCTTATCAATGTTGGTTCTGACGGATATGACGGGCGCTACCTTTTTTAGTTTGGGAAGAAAAAGTTGCGAACAGAATGATGCGGCTAGACTAGCTATGGATATTGGGTAGTATTCTCACATTACGCCTGTGCTATATCATTTACATTGGCTTCCAGTTCAAGCGTGTATATATTTCGAGGTTTTATTGCTAGCTTTTAAAGCTATATACGGCCTAGCGCCTTCATACATTAAGGACCTTAGATCCGATAACGGTATTTCATTAGAAGCGCCTAAAGGAAAGATGTTAGTCACCCTGATCGTTTCCAGTCAGCGGCACTTCATTGTGGAATAGTCTACCTATTAGTATTCGTACCATTTACGTCTATTACAACTTTTAAAAAATCCATTTCACTGGTTGGTTTTATCTCCCTCTACGCAACAGGTTTAACAAAATTCCTTAATACTATATATCGTTTTAAAAGTCATATGATAACAATTTCGAAAATAATATGATCTCAAAGTGATTTTCTTATTTGAAAAAAATGCCGAGCCTTAAACACAAATCGGGCACGTTCCGTAGAGGTGAACTAATGGAAATAGCGTTTGTGTGTATAGCCAAAACAACAAGAATTTTCCATTGTGGATTTTAAATCAAAGATTATACTTATTACTTGTCTCACGATCGTGACAGTTGGTACACTAACTAACTTCCAAGAGAGCACTGGTGGTTCAGTGGTAGAATACTCGCCTGCCACGCGGGTGACCCGGGTTCGATTCCCGGCCAGTGCATTAGTTTTAGCACAGGACGCCAAGTTTTTCTACTTTTAAGACTGAATTACGAACGCTTTGTTGATAACGTTTTTCAAGTGTCGTCAACATACTTCGTGTCCATAGTTCTGAAACATAGGAATTTGGCAAAAATAAAACATTTCAGTAAAACCAGTCGTGAAAAAGTACATCTTAGAGCAGACTATTATTTGCAGCAAAACGGCTCTGCCGCGTACGTAATGCGCATGAGCAGAATATTATTTTTAGGCAATTCATCGTTTGCAGTTATCTCGGCCAATCAAAACGACGGAAAAAAGTATTTGAATAATAATAAATATCAAGCTTGAAAATTGGCCCTCCAAATTAATATCAGGTTTTCTTGTACTAACCTGAGTTTTTACGAGCTACTTTTTGTTTTTTAGATAAGATGACGACCGAATTAATCAAAGATTGATCAAGTAACTTTCCGCCGACTCGCTTCAAATGAATAAAATTAGTTTTACGCCGTTTATAAATATCAAGACATAGTTGTCTTATTTTATATATTTTTGGGGAATTACATTTGAAATATGGCAGCGAGAAAGATCGAAATTCTGCTCCTAGTGGTTTTCTTATCAATGTTGGTTCTGACGGATATGACGGGCGCTTTTTTTAAAATTGGAAGAAGAGAAATACTGCGAAAATTAGCTCTCAAAGACGCAGAACTTCTGGCAAAGTACGACGCCGCCTACCAAGAAGACAATACGAAGTATAAACATCTTGCGAGAAATCTTGGAAAGAGCAAAAAATTGATGAATTTGAAATATAAAAGTAAGTTCTCTCGTGCCAGTCATATGGCTTAGTTTGTAATATTATATATTCAGTAAGACGAAAGGCTTCTCTCATAGCTAAAATCCTGTAGAATGCCAGCCACAATGGCGCATTTGATCACGCGACCTTTTAGTGCAAGTCGCCTATTACAAGCAAAAGATAAAGAGAGTGACGAATAGGTAAATGTGCGATGACGATCCCACTATCCTTTGCTTCTTGTCAATATTTACCTGACCCCCCGTCCGGTTGTCTAAAAAAGCATGTGATCCCCCACTCCCCTCCCCCCACCTGCCCAAACTGTTTAGAAACGTTTTCGAAAAGTTATCAGAGTGGAGAAGGGAGAATATTTTGCCAAAGTCAAATAGTCTAATACCCCATTCACACCTAAACGTGTTTAGTTAAAACCTACAATATAATGAAACTTTCTAAAATATTATCAGAGCAAGACAAAGGATAGTTTACACACATTGTTTCACCAAAAATTGTGCAGTGTTCGTAGATAGTTTTCCAAACCTGTTTAGTTAAACCACTTTAAAACATGTTTAAGCCATGGTGTGAATGGGGTATATAAAGGATATTACATGGGCGCTTGGAGATACGACATTTATCTTCGAGTGTTGAAAATATCTTTCACAAGTGAGCGCAGCGAACGAGTGAGAGATTTTCAACACGAGAAGATAAATTTCGTATCTCCAAGCGCCCATGTAATATTCTGTTTATCATATAATTATCAATGAAGTATGTTTTGGCTTTTTCAGGCAATTCTTTCCTTGTATTTTTGAATAGCCATC